TGTGTGCGGTGATGTCTGCGGGCACACGTTGTGTCTGCGCTGTGCACCTGCTGAAAACTGAATGCACGTGGGTGACTCCCAGCTCCAGTCGGGTGGTGCTCTCAGGGCAGAGGTGGTGCCGGGGTGAGGGACGGGTGAGTGACAGGTGGCCTCTCCCTATGAGGTGTGTGGTCCGGCAGGGAGGACCCGCGCGGGGTGGATGGACCTGAGGCTGGTGCCTGCTGCCGAGAGCACACTCGGGCAGTGGGGGAAGTGGCGGGAGCAGCTGCAGCCCCGGTGGGTCAGCGGCCTGCCCCTGGATCCTGCCTGAGTCTGCGATTTGGAAGAAGTGATCTCCACTTTGTGAGTTTAGTTTTCTCATCTCCAAATAGGGACTCGAGTTAGATCAGGGAGTGGCTGGCACAGGTGTTGCCCTCTGGTGAACCCGTGATACCCATCCGTCCTCGTACTGGGCCCCCCGTGACTCCAAACACGTTCCATAATGCTTCCATGTGACAGTCCTGGGCTGGTGCCAGGTGTGACCGCACTCAGGGCCAGGTCCACTGGGTAGCCTGGTCTTGTGATGCGGTGCCCTTCATCCAGGGTCTCCAAGCTGGTTTGGCTTTCCTGGCACCCTGTGAGGGCACACTGGTGTGGCTGAGGCATTGTGATGGGCCTGCAGGTGGCAGCCCAGGGAGCGAAGCACAGGTCCACACAGCGGCAGTCCCCTGTGATGGCTCTGGCGTGGGCCGACTCGTGGTGTCCGCATGGCCCTCCCGTCAGCAGGCAGCCCGGACGGCTCAGCCTCCACCTGGAACAGTGTGGTGGGACTGCGTGTCACTGTGGGCTCCAGCCTTGGCCCCGGGGGCCGCGCTGTGGTCTCTGAGCCACGCAGCCCTGGCCTCCTGGGGCTGGCAGCTGGGCTCGGGGGGAGCAGCCCACGGGGCGGAGCGGGCCTGGCGTGTGACCCGGGGAGCCAGTGGTGACTCACGGTGGGAGGATCGGGCGGTGGGGGAGGCCCCGGCCAACTTTCCCTCTGGAGGCCCTAGCTGTGCTTTTCTTTTTTTCCACGCAGCCCTGCCTCCTTCCAGAAGCTTCCCCACCCCCACTGCTGACAGTTGCACGTGAACAAAGGGCATCGAGGAGTGCTCTCTGCATTGGGCACTTTCCTGGGCATGGCCTGGGTTCTGTCATGCTGCTCCGAGCCCGCGCTGCTCCAAGCCCGCTCTGCTTGTTATGGTTCAGTGACGTGGAGACAAAGGACGGGTACAGAGCAGTGCAGTGGCCCCGTGGTCAGGGCTGTGAGCCTTATTTCACAGCCCCACAGCCTTGGCCTGGCAGTGTGGCCAGAGAAGGAAGGGCTCACCGTGTGTCCAGGGAGGGGACCCGGCCACCGAGGATGTGCCGCAGCCCGACGCCTGCCTGGGTCCCAGGATGGTGTGTGGGCACCGGTATAGTCCTGCCTCAAAAGCTGGATTAACCAGGGTTGTGGTTGCACAGGGGTGGGGAAGAAGGGTGAGGCGGGGTGGCGGGGTGAGCCCTGGGGTTGGTGCGGGGTAGAGAGGAGGGAGGGCTCTGGCAAAGGATGGCACCCCAGGCAGAGTGCGGGCCAAGGGCCAGGTCCCTGGGCTGTCAGGGTGAGGCCGGTGCTCGGGACTTGGAGGTCCTCACGATGGAGTGCCAGCCCCCTGCCTCCCCCCTCGTCCATGCAGCGGCAGCTCGGGGCCCCCTTCACCGTGCAGGTTGCAGGTCCGCTGAGCGAAGACCCCAAGGTGGACTGATTCATTCCTCACCCTGGTCCACCGAGGGCCAGACCCCACTGGGCGGGACCTGCTTTCCATCCTTGGGGTCCCCTTCAGCTTGAGGGGAGCAGGCCTATCCTAGGGCACCCCCGTCCAGCAAATGCTGTTCTGTGTCTGCTGCTAGGAAGGCAGGCTGTGGCCTCGGGAATTCATTGCCTCTGCGAGCCCCGGGCCGACGGAAGCAAGCTGCCCGCGGAGTCGTGTCCTGCCCGGAGCCCGGCCGGCCAGACCTGCCCCGCCTCAGCCCTGGCACCGGCCCTGGAGTCGGGGTCATTGGACCTCAGCCTGGAGCTGTATCCGGGTGCTGCCTCCTGACCAGGGTCCAGCGGCGTCCTGCTGTCCGTCTGTTCCCCTCTCCTGGGCCAAGGGGCTTTGTCCCGGGGGGCAGGGCTGCGTGGCCGGGGCGTTCCCTGGCACCTCCGCTTCCTCTGCCACCCTCAGAGCAGGATTCGGGCCGTGCAAGGACAGATGGCTCCCTTCAGGCTGCTGGTGGGGGGCGGGAGGGGCGGCGGCCAGGGAGGGCCTGGCGCCGGCTGGGGGGCAGGAGGCCGGAGGCGGCTGGCAGCCCTGGCTCAGGGGGCGGCCTCCTCGGGAGCAGAGATGTCGCTCCCGTGGCCTCTGTCCCAAGGCTCTGAGGTCGTCCAGGGCCGTCCCTGTGCCCCATGCCCATCCGCATCCATCCTGCCCTCCAGCCTGCCCCCCGCCCCCGGCTGTTGGTGGCCGCGGTGGCCTCTGTCCATCTGCTCCGTCCACCTGTCCACGCCCATTGAGGAGTCAGGCCATCAGCTGCTGCGGGTGGGTGAGCGGGAGCGGCGTTGGGGGAGCCGATGGCATGGCCTGGGCACGGGGCGCCCCTCGCTGCTGCCGCCGACGGGGGGTGCCTGCTGGGTGCCAGGTCCCTTGGGGGCTCGGGGCCCAGGGCAGCAGGCGGAGGGCACGCGCTGGCATTTTGTGCTTCTGGTCCTTGGGCTGGGGCGCCCCTCTGTGGCTCCGGCGGTGGGACGGTCTTCGCCACAGTCGATGCGTGGTCCAGGGCACTGCAGGCTGAGGTCGCAAGTGAGATGAGGTGGCGGGCGGGGGTCTTTCTCTTCCTGCCTCTGCAGCCTGGCTCTCACTGCCCGTCCCTCGCCCCGGCACGGCTCAGGGCCGCCTGGTGGCTGCTGTGGCCCCTCGCTGGTGCTGTTGGCTTGGCGCCCTCCCTGTGCTGCACGTGTGGACACCCCTTGGGCTGGGAGGGTCATGGGTGCTGCTCACCCAGCCCCCGTCACTGCCTGTGGTCCGCCCGCCCCCCAGAGCTGCCCCTGTCCCTCTCTCCGCAAACCCCCGGCCAGCTCCTCCCTGCTCCTGCCCAGACCCCGCTTGAGCTGCTTCCTCTGGGGAGCAGAGCGTCCTGTTGGGGCCCTCGTCATGGGACATTGCGGCTGACTCCTGACGAACCTTCATGTCCCTGAGGCCGGGACCAGGCCCGCCTGTTTCCAAGGGACGTGGTGCCCAGTGCCCTGTGGGTGCACAGGGTGTGTCTGCGGAGTTGGGCCTAATCCTCCCGCGAGCCCGCCTGGGGTCCTCGTGGCCCCCCCAGGATGCTCGGTGGCCCTGGGGCTGCCCTCCGGCCTCTGGGGAGAATGGCAGGTCCCTGCCCAGGTCGTCTGCTCAGGGCACACACCCCCACAGCCCGCTGCTGTCTCCAGACTTCTTTCCGGATGGTGACGTCATTGGCATCTTACAGATGAAGCTGTGATATTTAAGTTTGGAGGATCAGCGAGCCCTTGGTGGTTGAGACGTAGCAGTCGCCCATCCCTCCTCTCCCCACAGTTAGCTCTCTGACCCTGCGGGTCTCGGGTCCGCCTGTCTCTGCTCTCGGTGACCTCGTCACTGCCGCTGCGAGCTGTTCAGCAGTTGGACATTAGTGACTTGCAAGATGAGGATTGGCGCGTGCTTTCAGGTGTGTGCTTGCACCATACACACGTGCACACACATGCGCACACATGCACACCCCCCCCCCCCGGCTGCCTTTTACCCGCAGGTACACGGGGACTCTGCCGACTGCCCTGCTGCTGAGGCTGAACCCCGCTGTGAACCAGGATGGTCCCCATTTTCCGCTCAGCGTGTTTCCCTGGGGCCTGGTTGTGCCCTGATGCCACGGTCTTCCCTCTTCCCCGAGGATGTCTCTCTGGAACCTTCTGCCCACCCCCCCCAACCCCTGCCCCCGGGGTCCTTCATCTTGCTCCTCCTGTTTTCCTGGTTTATCGGTGCTGGATGGAGCGCGGCCTGGCGTCCTCTCCCAGGAAGGGCAGTGACGGGCCCCATGTGGGTCTGGAAGCGTCTTCTGCGCCTGTGCGGGGCCACCGTGTCTTCGGGTTCTTCTTGGTGGCCCATGCGCCACGCAGGGCAGGCCCGTGTGGCCGTGCTGAACAGTGCCCATTCGATGACCTTGTCCAGGTGGCGCATCCCCTTGCCTTCGTTTCTTCTCCCGACTGCTGTCCCCCGGGTGTGGGAGTGGGGCTGGTCCCAGCCTCCAGTCCTCTTGGTGTTTCCTCCTGCTTCCTGGGTGGCATCCCCGAAGCCACGAGCACCCTTCCTCTGAGCTCTGCTCTCCTGCGCCCACTGTGCCCTCTCAGGCCTTGCTGTGCTCCTGTCTCTGGGGGTGGTGGCAAGGGGCCAGGTGGCCTGGGTTCGCCCTCGGGGAGGCCGTGCAGTGAGATCGTGGGCACTGGCTGGCCCTGCCGAATCCACATCCTTCTCTGCTGCCAGCTGCGTGGCCTGTGGCGCCTTACCCCTCTGTGCCTCGCATCCTTGTCTGCCAGGGAGGCAGCAGTGGCACCTCCTTACAGGTCTTGGTGAGAGTGGCACCCAAGCCTGTGTAAGGCGTGCAGGGAGGTGTGGGTGCGTGCCGGGGGTCCTGGGCACCAGCGTGCTTCCTGCTTTACGCTGTTCTTCCCCAGTGCTCTGCTCTGCACCATGACCTCGAGTGTCCTGGGCTCCGTCTTCCACCTCTCGTGTGTTCCCAGGTGCGGCCCAAGGCTGACGGGCTGGCGAGCATGCAGGTGCCCCACTTGCTGCGCTGAGACCTGCTCTCCTCCAGGCCGGCGGGCACCTCTGGCTCCTCTCTCCCTGCCAGCTGTGTCTGCCCCCCCCCCCGCCCCTGGCTGTCCATCTCCCCTTGGGGAGCGTCCAGAAAGCGAAGGGAAGTCCTGCAGGGACCTGCCAGGCAGCCGGGATCTGAGGCCTGGGGTCCATGAAACAGGAAAACATGTGATTTCCCCAGGGACCCTGAGTCCCTGTTGGGGTCCCCAGGCCCGCTCCCCCCCCACCCCACCGCCGACAGCCAGCCTGTGTGGGGCCTGAGTTTGTCTGCGTCCGGACCAGCATCGTGTCACAGCTGGCCCCGGGAGCAGGGGTGGGAACCGGCGTGTGTGCCGAGCCCCCCGAGAGATTCACCAAGAGTCAGACACGAGCACTCGTCGCTCTGAACTGTTTTGTTTGGGAAAATGCACTCTGTTTCATAAAGACGTGTTACTTATCTAACAGAGTAGATTTCCTGTTATTTTACAATAAATTCATAAGTGTATTTTAAAACTTCGTTTTGATCTCGAATGCAGGAAACCTTGGTAGATGTGATGCCCCTAAATCAAAGCTCTGGGTACCTCCTGGCCGTGGACGGGCCCTGGGTGGCCGACAGCCCAGGCACGGCAGGGGCAGGGTGCAGCCAGGCAGCAAGCTCCGCGGCCCCCGCCGACCCCCGGAGCGTGGGCCTGCTTCTCGCCCCCGGTGAGCCCACGTGGGGCCCAGATCTGCCCTCACTAAGGCTTTCGTAGGTCGCGAAGCACTGCGTGCCCAGCCTGGCCCATTCGGAGCGCCCGACGAGCCGTGCCAGCGTCATTGGGAAGTGGCAAATGTGGCAGACGCTGGACGAGTCTCTGCATGCACATGTGCAGACACCCAGAAAGCTGGCGACACTGGGCGCCCCAGGGGGTGGTTGTCAGGCTGGAGATGTCTCCATCGCCTTCCTAGAGCTGCGGTTCCCGGAGGAGCAGATCGGGCAGGCGGGACGGCGGGTGTCACACTCGTGCAGGCGGTTATGTTCTGAGCGCCAGCTGTCACCGTGCGTATCACCCACTCTACACAGCAGGCCCGGGAGGCGGGTCCTCGCGTTACCCTGGTTTTGTACATGAGGACGCTGGGGTCAGGGACGGTCAGTGTCTCGTCCTAGCAGCAGGTGCTGCATGTGCCCCCAGCTGCCCCCAGCCGTCCTGCTACCCGCTGTGGCTCAGACACCTGAGCTGGAACTGGAGATGTGGCAGGTGCACAAACCCCTGGGCTCTCTGTGCGGCAGGGGAGGGCGGATTCCGCAGAATGGTGGGACCCCCGCGGCCTTCGAGAGGGGTCCTTGCAGGGAGAACTGATGTGCAGCATCTGTCCCCATGTGGGATGGTGGGAGGCACTTTGAAGGGGCTCCGTGGGGCCACTGCCCTGGGGGTGGAGGCGTGGGGCCGCCTGGGGTGAGGGCGGGTGGGTGGGTGGGCAGGGGCCCGAGTGCACCCTGAATCTGGGCGCTGACGCCTCTCCTCCCTCCCGACCTGGTTTTTGTCTCTTCCAGCTCTGTGGGAAGGCAGAGGCCCTGCTCTCTGTGAGAAGATGTCCTACGGATCCATCGCTGGCAGTGGTGGCCTGGGGAGCCATGGTCCTTTCGGGGGATCTTCCAGACAAGGCTATCAGCCCCTAGGTAATGACAGAGGCTCACAGTGTTGGGGGTGGGGCGGGGGTGGCCGTAGACGGGCCTCTGCTATCGGGATGGTGGTAGGTGTGGGCGGTTCTGTGTGACCGACGCTGCCTGTGGCCTCGGGTGAGCGACACTGGCCCTACCTGGGGTGGGGTGGCTGGCGTTGACCTGGGTCAGCAGCAGGAGGGGCTGCCCTGCCATGGGGGGCGGCCTGGGGTCTGCGGTCATCCCGGCACCGAGCTGGTCTGCAGGTGCCAGGGGCGCTTGGCAGGCAGCAGAGTGGAGGGATGGTGCAGCACGGGTGTAGTTCTTGCTATACAGAGAAGGAAACTGAGGCTGGCTGGGCCTTCCAAGGCGCCTCCCTTTCCCCAGCACCGCCTCCCCTGAGGCCTGTGTCTCGGGCTTCCTTGCTGACCTTTCTTTCTGGTTTTGCTTACACGTGTCTGCGTCCCCACGTGGAACCTTGCGCAACTTTGGAACTGTGGGATTTTACCCTCCCTTTGCTGGTTCTGCCCCAAGTCCCTGATGCTGCCAGCGCCGCACCCTCGTTTCCCTGTTCACCGGTGCCTTCTGCATGGGAGGGCCAGGGAGCGCGTCTGTTGGGGCCCGTGGCCCGGCAGCGCAAGGACAGCTGTCGGCTCTGGACTACCATGCACGTGAGGCGTGTGCTGGTGCCAGCCACTGCCCTTGGCGCCCCGGCCTCATCCGCCTGAGATCTGGTGGGGGCGGGTGGTGGGCGTCTGCAGTCGGGGCGGGCCGTGCTCTGCTGGTTCTCATTTACTTTTCTTTGGTGACTTATGGGATGCACCCATTTCTCCTCAGCCAACTCTCCCCTGGAGTTTGCCCTCCTCTTACTGATTTGCAAGGTTTTCTTATGGAACGTTGCTCTGTGCATCTTCGTCCACTTTGGGCCTCCTTTTCGGTGCGGCGCCTGCTGGGGAGCGCGGGTGCTTAGCCAGTGGAGTTTGAGTTGTGGCTGGCTCGAGCGCGCTGGTGTCTGATGCGGGGTCTGGGTTTCTGTGTGACGAGTCCTATCACAGGATGATACTGGCATTGCACCTGAGAGCCAGGTGCTCTCTCTCTCTCTTTTAAAGATTTATTCACGAGACACACACACACACACAGAGGCAGAGACACAGGCAGAGGGAGAAGCAGGCTCCTTGCGGGGAGCCCGATGCAAGATTTGATACCAGGACCCCGGGGTCACACCCTGAGCCAAAGGCAGATGCTCAACCCCCAAGCCCCCCAGGTGCCCCTGCACCTGCTCTGAAGCTGATATGACTGTTGTTCAGGTGTAAGTCTTCCCATCACCTGGTCTGATCGCTCTTTACGGGGCGCGGAGAGGGCGGAGCTGCAATGCTGTGTTTCTCTCTTGAACCACGGGTTGTCCTGGCGTCCCAGTCCCGCAGACCTGCGGAGCCAAAGCTCGGTGATGAATTATGTTTCCATGTAGGTTCTTTTGGTCAATATTTCTCTTCCTGTGCAAAACTCCCCCATAATTTTCAGAGTTACAATTTTTGGTATTTTTCACGGCAAGTTGCTCCACTTGTTTTCCCTCAGAAATGTCTTGGGTGTTTTTGGCACTTTGTTCTTGAACATAAATTTTAGAATCCCCTCGTCAGGCTCTGGGTTTTGGCTGGAGCTGCCATGCATCTGCTGCATTAATGTGGCGAGATCTGGCATTTTATCGTCCATGGGCTCCCAGTCCATGAGCTTGTGTGTCTCTTTCTGTCCCTCGGATCTTCTTTCATGTTTTGCAGTAAAGTTGTATAACTTTCATTATAAAGATCTTACGTATTTCTTATTTGTTCTAACAAAAACAAAAACACACATGCTTTGTTATCATAAGAGATAGCACTCTGAATATTGCACTTTCAGATCTTTGTTGCTGATACAGCTTCTATATGACAATTGGATTTTTTAAAAAAACACAGTCTAGAGATTTTTATTTAATTTTTAAATGCTTTACTTTCACACTTTCTGAATAGGGGCCATTTCAAACACAGAAAAGTAGACACAAAAAAAGTAATGAGCCCCCGCGCTGCCCAGGCCACCTCATCAGGTGCCCGCTTGTGGCACATCCAACCCCTTGGCCTTCTGTATGTCATTCTGTGGCGAGTACCAGATGCAGCGCACCTCCTGTGTTGACGCATGCCTGTGCCTCTGCAAGGGGGGTACTGTGCGCATCACCGGAGCACCGCTGGAGTGCCTGGTCAGGTGTGCCCTGGCATCGCTGACTGCTCGGTGGCTCCTTGTGAAGCAGGGCCCTGGGAAAACCCACGTGCTGCAGTTGACTCAGCTCAGCTGACTCAGCTCAGGCCCCTCAAGTCTCTCTGAAGCTCCACATTCTCCTCCATCGTTCTGTTTGTTTTTTTTTTTACCCCTTGAAGTTTATTTTTTGAAGAGACCACATTTTCCCCGTGGAGTGTCATAGGTTTTTGTCCACTGACTTATATTGTGCCATTTTGTTGAATTCATTCTATTACTGTAATTATTAGTAGAATCTGAAATTTTCTGTTTAGATGGCATCATTTGTAAATAGGGACTTTTTTTCTTTCTTTCCCCAATGCGTCCATTCTTCTTCCCACCTTCCTGAGCTGGTTGGAGCCCCTGTGATGCTGAGTGACATGGTGTTTATATCCCGTGTGAGTTTTTGGAAGAATAGGACTACACGTTCCTCAGGTGTTCCTGGGATTTTGCTGCAGAACCGTCTGAGCCTAGTGTTTCCTTCACGGAGCACTTTTTGACAAGCAGTTTACTTCTCCAGGCATAGAAACCTTCCAGGCTCTCTGTTTCCTCTTGGGTCAGTTTTGCTGTGTTGTTCTTTGAGACCTGTGTCTGTTTCACTGGGATGTTTGGATTTACTGAAATAAAATGTAGCCAGTAGCTGCCGGTTGTTGATGGGGCCGCACTGTGGTGTGGCCGAGGGCCTGGCTGGGGCCTTCGCACCCTCCATCTGCTCTGCTCTGCCCCTGTCCAGCCACAGCCGCCGCGAAGGCTGAGGGCTGCGCAGGTTTACCATTGTGGCAGCTGCTGTTCTATGAATGGTCACAGTATCTGAATCACATTCCCTTTTGTATTCCTAATAGAGTTTGTCTGTACCTCCCCTATTATCTTCTTTTATAATTAGTCTTGACTGAGGCTTGGCACTTTGATATTTATTTATTTATTTATATATTTTTTAAATTTTATGTATTCATAAGAGAGAGAGAGAGAGAGAGGCAGAGCCACAGCCACAGGCAGAGGGAGAAGCAGGCTCCATACTGGGAGCCTGACGTGGGACTCGATCCAGGGTCCCCAGGATCACTCCTTGGGCTGAAGGCGGCGCTAAACTGCTGAGCCACCTGGGCTGCCCTGTTTGGCACTTTTATAAGGTTCCCTGAAGAACTGACTTCTGACTTTCTTGATACCTTCTACTATATGATTGATTTGCATTCTTACTTTTATTATTTTCTTTTTATTTTCTAAAGATTTTATTTATTTATTCATGAGAGACACAGAGAGAGAGAGACACAGGCAGAGGGAGAAGCAGGCTCCCTGCAGGGAGCCTGATGCGGGACTCGATCCCAGGACCCCGGGGTCACACCCTGAGCCCAAGGCAGACAGCTACGGAGCCACCCAGGCACCCCACTTTTATTTTTTTCCTTCTCTCTTTGAGTTGATGCTGTTATTTTTCCAACTCCTAAGTTGGATGTTTATTTCATTCGTATTGTTTTTATTCTTTTGTAGTAAAAACACTTGAGATTGTAAGTGTTCAGACAGTCACTGCATTGGTTGACTGTCAGGCATTCAGAAGCGTGTGGTATTTTAAAATTAAAGTTCAGTTGTGTTTTCTTATTTCCATTATGATTTCTTCTTTGACTCAAGATTTATTTATTTTTTATTCCCTCAGGGTTTATTTAGAACTACAGTTCATTGTTTCCAAACATATGTATTCTTACCTACTTGTCTCTTAAAAATGATGTCTACTTAATTGCAATTTTGTCAGGAAAGGACTTGCATTGTCCTGGTTTGTTGACCATTGCTGAGGCCAGCTGCTGCTGGTTCCTCACCCCCTCCTCTGCGGGGTGACCTGGACAGGCTCCCGGGGAGGGGCTGGCACGCCGGGCAGGATGACAGGGCTGGGCAGAGATCCAGGCCTGTGCAGGAGCAGCTGCTGTCATCCAGGACTGGCTGCACCCAACCACTGTGGGGTACGTGCCACCCTGGAGGTAATTATGTGGAGCTTAGGGCAACCTCTTTGTGGTAGGATCGCAGCAGGAACACAGCAGAAAGCCAACTGGTGGATTATTAATACATAAAGAACTCCCATAAATCAAAGGAAGACCTCCGAACCTCATACCAGGGGCCGGCGCTGGGAGGAGGCGGGAGGGACAGCCTGCTCACCGTGTCTGGGAGGGCCCGAGCCTCGCCGGTGCCCCGAGGGACGGTCGGGGTGGTGGCAGTACGCCCGTGCTCCTGGACCTGCTGCCTTCCCTCTGGGGCCCTGCCCTCCCTGGGCTGCGGGAAGCTTGCGAGGCCACGGACGGAGAGACAGAGGCTGTCCCCATGTGGCTGAGGCAGGCGGCCGGGGAGGCGTAGCCCAGATGGGCCGTCACACGGGCATCAGCGTGGAGATCTTGGAGATTGCTGGTAACCTCCACATGCGTCCAACGTGGTGACAGGTGCTCGGCGTGCAGGAAGCAAGGCTGTCTCCAGAGTCTTCCAGTTGTTCAAGGCCCCCAGCCCTGTGGTAACGGCTTTTGCCTCCGACGCTGTGGCTGCAGACCACCTTTATCATTTTCTGTATAATTGTTGCATTTGAACTTTTCTCCATAATTATGTGTATTCTAATAATCAGAAACAAACAATAGTTGCCTCAGGCCCCCCTCAGAGTTCAAGTGATTTTGGAGGGCAGACCAGACCGGCCCCTCCACGGGGGTCTGGAGGAGGAGAAGGTGGGTAGGGGCTGGACTTGGTGACCTGATGCCAACATGGGGGTCATCAGGTGGTGGTGTGGGCAGTGACGTGGGCTGCCAGCTGGGCCCCCTGGTCTCCCCGGGTGTCCTGCCCCCATACGAGGGGCTCTGGGGGCTCCGCAGCAGATGGTGACCCAGGTACTTGGGCAGCTGTGCCTGTTCCTTACCCCCATCTGGGCGAGTGGCTGGGCCCGGGGGACGTGTGTCTGCAAGAGAGCCCAGCGCAGGTGTCTTGGGGGAGGGCCCGTCCCAATGCTCCCCACCAAGTCGTCTGGGAGGAGGGGGAGTGACAGGATGTGCCCTTTTGGAAGATGGTCCCTGTCGTGGAGGCTCGTGGTCAGACCTCAGACCCACAGAGACGCCTGGATGTGGAGCGTTGGCCCTGGCTGCCTGGAGACGGTGCTGGGACTGTCCAGGGCCATGTCTGCCCCCCCAGATGGCTAGGACGGTTCTTAGTCTGAGGCAGAAGCTCACTTTGCTGCTGTTGTCTGTGGCGTGGGAACCGCCGTCCCCAGGATGAGCGAGGCTGCCGCCCTGCCCGTCCCCCTCCATCCTGCCTGGAGCGGGGAGGCTCTGTGTGTGAGGGGTGGAGCCCCCAGATCTGGCCGGGAGCCCCATGGGCTGCCTACACGCTTTGGGTGGCTGCCTACACGCTTTGGGTCCTTGCTGCCTGGAGGCAGGAGGATGGCTGAGATGGCCTTCTGAGGCCCCTCCCACTCCACGGTGCGGCCCTTCTGTCCCTGTCATGCTGGTCTGTGGTCCCCCGCAGAGGGACACAGAGCATGGGTTGGACAGGGGCCCTTTGCTGTCCCTCCTCTGGGGCATGTGAGTCAGAGGCCTTTCCCGGGAAGGAGCTGCCCTCCGGGAGCCCCGTGCTGGCACGGGCCTCGGACAGTCCGTGTCCTTGGGTTTTGGGGTGGCTGTGGGCGTGTCACCTCCTAGAGCACGCTCCCTGGAAACTGCCCTTCCAAAGAGCTCCAGAGAGAACAGGGTCACGCCATGGCCCCAGGGCTCTGGCATGTACCCCCCTCACTGACTCGGGTGCCGGGGATTGAAAGGCACGTCTTTGAGGGGCCGTAAGGTGTTTGACCGACTCTGGCAAAACGTGTCCAGCAAGTGTCTGAATAAATGGGAATAATCGAGGAGAAAAATCAAGTGTCCTCCCCGAGGGCCCAACCCCGTGCCAGGGCCTGTGGGGCCCAGGTATTGGGAGGAGGTCGCACAGGTGCCCGCACTGCTGCTCCTCAGCTCTGCAGCCGAGCGTCAGGAAGGGCAGGTTTTTATTTTTATTTTCACTCCCGATGCGGCGTGGAACAATGGCTTAATGAGCAGTGATTCCTTGCTTGGCTGCTGTGGTGATTTTGAATTGTCATAAACATCCAGCATCCCTCAGGCCATACTGTCCTTTTTTGCACGTTTTCTGTCGCCGACAGGTAACAGCCATCAGAGCCCTCACCTGGTCCGTGGGCCACACCTGAAGGCTCTGCTCTAGGGGATTTCATCCTTGTTTGGGGTCACCTTTTAGAATAGTTGTGGTTTAAAGAAAGATCTGGAACACATACAGTTCTGAACTCGGTGCTGGTCTTCAGCAAAAGTGGCTGTTGCAGAGGGTGTGGCAGTCTGGGAGGGCTTCTTGGAGGAGGTGGGCCTGAATGGAGCTTCTTGGCATGGATGCTTGGAGGGCTGAGGGCACCTGCTGTCCTGCCTGGGGGCCTTGCTCTGTGGGCAGTGCCTTGAGCCGCTCTGTGGGCAGGCTGGGTGTAACTGTGACTGTCCCTTGCTGTCTGTAGAGTGCGCTAAATGTTGGACCGAGTACGGAATCCGCCATTTCCCCTGCCCGTCGCCAGAGAGCAGCCCACGGGACCCCTGTGTGGGCGAGGACGGGGAAGGTGATCGGGGGTCGGCGGGCACGCCCAGAGGCCCGAGGGCCAGGAAGCGAGGTACTTCCGCTCGGGTGCTGGGTCCGGGAGCCCTGAGGAGGGGGGGCCAGCAGGCGGGGTTGGGGGCGAGCTGCCGCAGGATTCCAGTTGGTCTACACCCTCCACCCCATTCCCCTCCCAAGGATGGCAGACGGCGTCGGGGCTGGGCCAGTGGCGGGAGGGGTGTCGAGTGATGACTGTGCGCGTCAGGGCCCTGTGGGCTCCCCCGTGGGCTCCGGGGGTGAGGCTGGGTGGTCCCCGTAGGGGGGCTGGTGAGGGAGCCTCAGGGTGCTTGGCTCTGGGCCTCTGTAGAGCCAGCCTTCCGGGTGATGGGGCGACGGGAGGGCTGAGTGCTCCCCAGGGGCTCACACGGCTGCCCTCGGGGCGCGCAGGGCTGGGGGCTTTCCCCTCTGTCTGGGAAGCCTCTGGTCTGACGGGGCGGCTGCCCCTTGTGCCCCGACAGAGGCCCCTACACCCTGGCAGCACAGGCTGGCTGGTGACAAAGCTTCAAGTGCCAGAGGCCCGGGGACTTGGCTGTTTGCCTGCCCAGCCAGGGGCCCTGTGACCTGAGGACTGGGAGGCCGTGGGGGCCCGGGGGGCAGGGGTGGGAGATACACACCAGGCCCTCGGGCCCTGCCCACCCTCCTGCCCCTGCCCCTGCCCTCTGAGTGCTGGGCTCTCGCGCGGGGCAGGGAGGCCGGGGTTCTCGGCCGGGGCGGTGGAGCGTTTTGATGAGGAGGCTTCCCCTGGGGGGGTGTCTGGGAGCAGCCCAGTGCCTTCTCCTGTGGACATTGCTTTGCTCTGGTTGGTGGCAGCTGGGCAGGGCCGGCCGTGGCCCTCTGGGGAGATGGACGCAATAGCCAGTCGCGAAGTGCCTTGCGGATGGTGCCCTGTCAGGTGGCGTTGTGGCCGGGACGTGTCCCCAGGCCTCTGGACACCCAGCAGGGAGGGGGCGGTGGCCGGAGCAGGTGGCGGTGTCCTGAAGTCGAAGCCACAGAGGAGGTGCCCAGGAGCCGCTGCCACCGCTGCCACCCCACTGGCCCAGGGCCTTCAACACCTGCCTTTTGGTGCCTTTCCAGGGCCAGGGGTCGCCGTCGAAGGCCGTGGGACGCCGGAGCCTGCCTCACCGCCTGCTGCTGCCCCGAGGAAGGACTCTGCCGGTGGGGCCCACGGCCGGCTGGCAGGGCCCGGTGCCACACGTGCCAAGAAGAGGAAACCCAACTTCTGCCCGCAGGAGACGGAGGTGCTGGTGTCCAAGGTCAGCAAGCACCACCAGCTGCTGTTCGGCAGCGGGCTGCTGAGGGCAGAGCCCGCCCGCAGGTACCGCGTGTGGAGCCGCATCCTGCAGGCCGTGAATGCCCTAGGCTACTGCCGCCGAGACGTCGGGGACCTCAAGCACAAGTGGCGGGACCTGCGTGCCGTGGTGCGGCGCAAGCTGGGTGACCTCCGCCGCGTCGGCCCTGGCCCCGGCGCGCCCCCAGCCCTGGCCCTCACCCCTGTGGAGCGGACTGTGGCCCAGACCTTCTCCTGCCGGGCCCCGTCCCCCGAGGGTGTCGACCCGGAGCCGCCCCGAGGTGAGTTCCTGGTCCTGGCTGGCAGCATCAGAGCCCCACTGCGGCCTAGGCCCCCTTGTCCCTCTGACCCAGACACCCCCTACCGTGGCTGCCTCCTCTTCTCACTGCCAGGGGCTCGGGGGTTCCTGCTCCCTCACGCCCGCACCTGCCGGGCTGCACGGGGACCGCTTACTAAGAATCCAGGCATTCAGGTGAGCAGCGCCCCTGCTGCTTTGTCCCTGCCCTCCCATGCCGGGCTGCAGAGCGGGGAACTGGGCACCAAGTCGCGGCTCTGCTTTCAAGGTCATCTGCTTCCTGCCTCTGGACCTTGATCTACAGGAAGAAACACATTCTCTTACGCGGTGTCCTGTGTACACGCATCTGAAATACAAGGTTTTCGAGATGGTGCTTGCTGCATGTTATCCGAGACGGCCTGCTGCTTCCCTTGCCCTGTGCATCCTGCGCTCTTACCCTGGCTGTTAGATAAGCGCTCCTCCTGACCTCCTGCTTTTACAACCCGGGTGGGAGAGCTGCGGTTGGAGCCCGGGCCCTGTTGCTGGTTTAACATCCAGAACAGGCCTCGGTCCCGGCTGGGCCAGCCCTTCTGCGTCGGGTCACCCCCAGCTCAGGTGGGCCTTCCCCACGCTGTTGCCCAAGGGACTGTTGCTCCGTGGGGTGTGACTTCTTGTTGGACACGGTGGGTGGGGGGCCGGGGGCCCAATGTCTGGGCGCTGTGCTGGGAACTCGGTGGGGCGGGTCCCACATAGGGGCATGATTAGCCGCTCCGTGGCCTGAAACAGCCTCGGCATCTTCAAGTTGCCACCCGGGGAGGGAGCCTTCACGGCACAGGCTCCTGGCTGTTCCTCGTCCCCCACCCGCCTGCAGTGGGGTCATCCCCCTGGAATGCAGGGCTGCCCCCATCTCCCCCTGTACCCAGCCCTTCCCTGGCTAGTCCTCCTGTGCCCTCAGCATGGGCCCTGGCCCGGGAACCTGCATTCAGGCCAGACCCCCCCCAGCCCCACAGCCTCCTCTTGCCCTGTCCTCTGGGCACCCTCAGCGGCCTGCTGCTGGGGAAGGAGGAGGCCCCCGATGCTGCAGTGCGTTATCCCCGTGCTGTCACCTTTTCCTTCCTCTGCCTCGTGCTCATGTGGTTCAGGGTCCCCTGATGCCCCTGGGCCAGAGGTCCAGCCTGGGTGGGTAACGGAGGGAGGCCCATGGAGCACCCTGTACACTGAGCTCCGTGGGTCAGGTCGGCTCTTAGAGTGGCTGAATTCTGAGTGATTACTCCAGGCCACAGAGGTGGTCCTGGGGCTGGATGCGGGGTCCCCACATGATTCTGCTTCAGCTACACTCTGGGACTCCAGGTTTCTCCTATCAGGTGCACCAAGCGTGGCTCTCTGTATTTTGGAGCTCTGACGTGTGCACCAGGCTCAGAAGGGGCCCTGGGGACCGGTCCCTCAGCTCTGTTCTCTCTCCGTCCCTCAGCTGGAAGTGAGCAGGGCCTGTGGGGGTGGGAGGCGGGTGGGCCAGAGCGACTCAGAGGTGAGAAGTGCAAGGTCCCCCTGGGGAGGTGGCTGTGAGGGGGGTGTATGCCCTGGCCACGGGGCTTTGTTTTGTCCTTTGCTGCTGGCTGCTGTTGAGCATGCTTGGACCTGTCCTCGCTGGGTTCAGTCTGCATGGGGCATGCACATCCCCACGTCCTATATGGGGAAGTGGCCAGTGCTGTCCAGGGAATGGGCTGCTGCGGTCGTGCCCGGCCTCCCAATAGCCTATGAGGAGACGCTGCTGTCATCCCCTCGGCAGCAGCGCAGCGCCCTGGGGCACCGGGTTTGGCCCGGGCCTGTGTGCTCTGGGTGGGAGAGGTCCCCTGACTCCCTTGCTCGCCCTGTGTCCGGGGCACTGTATTGCTGCTCAGCTTCATCCTGCCCGGCCCGAGTCGACACTCCAGTCCTTCCCCTGTTGGCCGCTCAGGCTGCTGAGCCCGCCGTCTGGCCGGCCCGCCTGGTGGGGCAGTGGGGGCGATGTCAGTTCCCGGGGGTTCTCTCTGCCCCTGCCCCTCCCCCTCCCGCACTCCTGGTGGGGCCGCTGCAGCAGCTGCTCTGGGCCCGGGGGCAGTGAGGGCAGGTGGCTGGAGCAGGCGCGGAGCTGGGCCCCATGGCGGACAGAAGGCATTGCCAAGTGTGCGTTGGCAGCCTCGGGTCCCCTTCCTGCAGTGGGCAGATAAGGCTATGCACCTGCGCAGAGATGCCTCGCGGAGCCGGAGTGCCCCATTATCTCTGCTCACTGTGGAAGCAGAGGGGCGGGGACGAGGACCCCCAGAGAAAAGCGAGAGAAGTTCTGCTGATTTGACTTTATTTTATTCAACCGAGTGAGTGAAGTCATTCAGGAGGCGTGAAGAAGAGTCTAAAGGGTTTTCTCTGTGCTTTCTGGGGTGTGTGTCCTGGAGGACTGGGGAATGGGGTGCCTTCCCCAGACTCCTTCAAGGAGTGTTGCTTTGCTCAGCAGGTGTTTCTGGTACGTGTAGTTGTGTGTGGGAAAGGATGGCAGGGCCTGGCAGGAGGGTGGGAGTCCAGGAGCTGGAAGAAGGGCTGTGTGGGGGCCGTGGGCAGAGGGAGGGCAGCAGGGCTAAGCGGGGGCGAGTGCTCGGGCCTCACCCCCTCGCTGGGGGCCTGGGACATGGCTCACAGAGGTGAACTTATGAGTGATACAGCGCATCCACGAGTGGTTCAGTGAGGGGGCCCAGGCCTCGCCCCGGCCCGAGGCGGCCGCAGTTAGCTCTGTGTCACTGTGGGGTAGGCCTCCGGACTCCCAGGCACGTGGACCCCCATGTGGAGGACCGGCCGTGTGTCAGGGGTCGGGTGGCGTGTCTTCCCGTGGCTCAGGAGCGCACATTTCACCGTTTGTGTCTCGTCCGCCCTGGTGGATGGTGTCTGGTTGCCCGCTTTTGGCCAAGTGAAGGTCCTGTGAACATTTGGGTAAAATCTTTGCGTGGGCTGATGTTGTCACTCTTCGGGGGGTTGGATAGATATATGTAACTTTCTCGGAAACTACCTAACTGGTTTCCAAAGTGGCTGTCCCACCTCGGTTCCCACAGGAGCCGGGGGCTTGCGCACACCCTGCCTCCCGTAGCCACTCGCTCTTGCGGTTGATTTGATTTTAGCCGTCCCGTGGTGGTGGGGATCCTGGCTGGCGACGCCGTGTGCTTGCGGGCCACGTGTGGCCTCTGCTGTGGTCGGCATCCACACCAGGTGGTGGGCCGGCCCCCGTGGCTCCCGCCCGTCCCCACCTGGGTTCCGAGCCATTGCACAGCTGTGCCGCAGACCTCTCCTGTCAGGCTCTGCGCTGCCTTGTCTTTTCTTGATGGGGTCTTTTAGAAGCTTTTTAGGTTTCGATGTTATCAATGTTTTGTTTTGGGGTTTCTCCTTGTATCCCACCTAAAAAGTTCTTGCCTACTACGAATTTCCAGAATTACTGTTATTTGAAGTTTTTTTTTTTTTTTTAGGTTTTATTCACATGAGAGAGAGAGAGAATGAGCAGGGGGTGGGGGGGACAGAGGGAGAGAGAGAAGCAGGCTCTCCACCGGGGAGAGGGACCCCAATGTGGGGCTCGATCCCAGGACCCAGAGGTCATGACCTGAGCTGAAGGCAGATACTTCACTGATGGAGCCCCCCAGGCGCCCCTGTTTTTTGAAGTTTCATAGTTTGACATTTTACATTTAAGTGTCTGATCCACGTGGAGTTGGTCTGAGCTCTGTTAATTTGGGGTCGGGGTGCAGCGGATATACAGTTGTTCATCACCGTTGGTTGAAAATACTGAACCACCTGGATGCTTCTGTCTAAAGCCTGGTGGCTGCATTTATTGGGAGGTGGACTTGTTCCCGGCCACCTGGGTCTCTGCTTACACAACGACGAGCCACCTTGACAATCCCAGCTGTAAAGTAGGTCTTGAAGCGAGTTGGGAATTATGTCCTCCTCCTGTGTTTTCTGAGAGAATTTGTGTAGCACTGATATTATTCTTCCTGTAAACATTGGCAGAGTTCACCAAGGAAGCCTCTGAGCTGGCATTTTCATCATGGGAAGATTTGAAACTACAGTTTCTTTATTTTTTATTTTTAAAGATTTTATTTATTTATTCATGAGAGACACAGGGAGAGAGAGAGGCCGAGACACAGGCAGAGACAGAAGCAGGCTCCATGCACGGAGCCCGACGTGGGACTCGATTCCGGGACCCCAGGATCAAGCCCTGGGCGGAAGGTTGCACTAAACCACTGGGCCACCCGGGCTGCCCAGCAGTTTCTTTAATGTTGCTGTTTGTTCAAAGTTGTTATGTGTTACATTGTTATGTGTTGAGGGTTACATGTTACAGTGTTGCAGGCTACATGTTACAGTGTCGCTGCCCAGGCCTCTGCTGCTTCTCCTAGGAGCTTTGATCTGTCTGTTTTCAAGGAACTCACCCATTTCATCAGAGCTGCGAAGTCTGTTGCCGGAAATTGTGTGCGCCATTCCTCAGTATTGTTTGGAAGCCCGCACAGTCGGCGGTGAGGGCGGTGAGATCGGCTCTTTCATTTCTGACATTGCTAATTTGTGTTTCTCTGTTTCATACTTGACTAGTCTGACTGTATGTTTTTCAATTTTATTGATTGTTTCAGAGAACTAGATTTTGATTTCATTAATCTTCTCTATTTATCCAATGTCGAGTTAATTGATTTTTGCTCATCTTTATTATTTCCTTCCTTTCCCTCGCTCTGGGGTTAATTAGCTTTTCTTAGATCGTTGACTTGAGACCTTTCTTCTTCCCTCATGTAAGTGTTTATTGCTATACCTTTTCCTGTGTGCGTCACTTTATTTAAACAATTTTTGTATAGGTTATGTTTTTGTTTCATTCATTCAGAAGTATTTTCTGATTTCCTTTGTAATATTCTCTTTGACCAGTGGTTGTTTAGGAGCATGTGTAACAGTTCAGATAATTCTTTCTGTTTCCAGATAATCTTTCTGTTGCTAACTTCTAGCTTAATTCTGTTG